TAGTTAACCCTACTATACTAGTAGTCTCTAGAAATGAGGATGCTTCATTCAATTGCACTGCTCAAGGTGGACCTAATAATATGATAGTGTGGATAAAATGGGGAACATAACTCGTCAATTACCTTTCGATCTCCTCTTGATGTTTTGAACACACTTGATATAATAGAGACTGGCCCTAATATAACATTGACCTCTGTTAATGGAAGTAATGGTGGTATATACACTTGTGTGGTTCTTAATGAAGCAGGGATTGAAAATGCTACAGTTGAATTGCGAGTGCGGCCAGAGATACTAACAAATCCTAACAATATTTATGCTCAAAATGGAGAAGGTGATGTTTCATTTGAGTGCTTGGCTGATTCATTTCCTAGCCCTCAATATTGCTGGGAAAAATTTAACGAAACTTTAAATGAGTTTTACCCAATTTCCAATGAATCAGAGCGATCCTTGATGTTTGATGTGGTTGAATATGAAGACAATGGAAGGTATAGGTGTGTTGCTACAGCTCCTACAATAAATGGGTCTGCAATTTCTGGCGAGGCCGTGTTGACAGGTAAATATGTTTAGCGTTTTAAATTCTTCTTGTTTTTCTTCTTTCTTGTTTATTTATTTACCGCTCGTGTGTTGTTTTTCATATTCCTCCCTTTTTTCTATTTCTACCTGACTCATTCCCTTACTCTCAATTCTTCTCTCTCCCTCTCTTTCTTTTTATATACTCTTTATTTTTTTCTCTCTTTCACCCTCTCTCTCTACAGTATCTCCTGAAGGTAGTGTTGAAATTGATCCAGAGTTCACTATAGTAACAAATGGTAGTACAGTTACATTCACTTGCTCTGCTAGAGGTGGGCCTAACAACACTTTTATCTGGACTCGTTCTAATGCCACCGGATCAATGGCCAATGAGACTGAACTAATGAACCTTGCAGCAATGATCTCAATAGATGTTGATGGTTTCCTTGATGCAGCTGGTCCTCTTATTATAGAGAATGGTACTGAACTTACACTTGAGTACATCAATGCTACAAGAGATGGCGGTAACTACTCGTGTGTAGTCATCAATGAAGCTGGTTTTGTTGCAGTTGAGACCACGCTGTATGTGGCTCCTATCATAACGTTGCATCCACAAGATCAATTAGTAACGCTAGGTCAATATTTTACACTTTCATGTTTAGCAGATGCTTTTCCATCACGAATGTACCAGTGGGAGAGAATGAATTGTACTAGTGGGTATTTTGAGGAGATAACAGCTGAGACTTCCTCCGATTTGAGATTCAATAACATTGATTTTGATAAGTTTGGTATGTATCGCTGTGTTGCAAGCTCTGAGGGTATCAATGAGACAGCAGTATCAAGAGGAGCCCTTGTAACAGGTTAGGAATATGTATGTACATGTACATGTATGTATGTAACTATGTATGTACATATTTATGTGTGTATGTATTTATGTGTATGATTTATACACATAGCATGAATGACTTTCATTGAAAGAGATATATGTTTTATTTCTCAATCCAAACAAACATGACCCTAGCCAATGCCAATCAAATTATCAGTATCCTTTATTGGAAGTCACATGCTCCATATCTCTATTAATAATGTCACGAAAAGATCATACCTTTTATGTAATGCATTCCACGCATGCCAAGTATAAATAGACTTTATTTATAGAGACCTTGTAAT